CCCCGCCCCCGACTTCCCTCCGCCCCGCCTCCAGCACGGACCACGCCCCCAGTCCCGCCTCTCGCCCGCGCCGCCGAGGGCGGGGCCCAGAGAAGGGGGCGGAGCCAGAGAATCTGGGCCCGGGGAGTCAGATTCCTGCGTGCTAACTCCCTCGCGGCCCGCGGGGAGACAGGCTATTTTGACTGCCTCGGGGATGGGGGTGATTCGGAGCTAGGGCGAAGTTCGGAGGGAATGGGGCGTGAGAGGCATAAACTTGAGACTTGGGCCTTCGGTGTGCCAGCCCATGTGTGCACGCAGGTGTGCTAGTGCGTATGCACGCGGGCTGCCGCCATCCGCCTTCTTGAGCACAGGGGGGCGCGAGATGTCGGGGAACGGCAGGGATCTCTATGGGTTTTGTCTCGCTCCTTCCATTCCGTAGCAGGGGTTTTGGAGGGAAAGAGAGTGTAGACAGCACACCCACCCGACAGTGATGACATCATGGCTTTCCGTCCCCATGGCGACGGGTGGCCGGGCCTGGGCCTGGGGTGACTTGACGCCGGGCGGATCTGGACTAGCGAGGAAGCCAGCGGGAACTGAACTCCTCCTGTCAAGTGCTGAGTGGAAAGTTTGCGTCCTCTGGTGGATGCTTGGGGAGAAAGGAGAAAGGGAAGAAGAGGAAGCTAGAACAGTCGGAGGAGAGAGTGAGGAATCCGAAAAGTCAATTCCGGCTGGACTCAGAGGAAGCACTGCTGTGCCTTTACATGACATCTTTGCTTTTTAAAAGGGCTTCCTTGCTGGGAGCTGGTGACTCACGCCTGAACTCCTAGCTCCACGGTGGCTGATATCTGAGGATCGAGGTTTGATCTGAGAAAGTCTGAGAGACTCTCAATTGTTGTTCTGGGAAAGTCCTCTTACCTCCGATTAACCACCAAAAAGCCAGAAGTGGAATTGTGGCGATAGAGCGCCAGCCTTGAGCAAAAAAGCCACGTGCTCAAACCCAAGTACTGAAACATACAGACACACACACACACACATAACAGAAAGATTACATAAATAAGAGCTTACTTCAATTTGTATATGTAAATATAGAACCAGGTAACTTAAGGTTGGGAGAGATGGGAGAGAACTAATATGATGAATTGAAACCTCTTTGCACAACTACTTTTTTTTTTTTTGGTAGGTCGTGGGGCTTGAACTCTGGGCTTGGGCGCTGTCCCGGCGCTCTTCAGCTCAAGGCGAGCGCTCTACCGCTTGAACCACAGCACCACTTCTGGTTTTCTAGTGGTTAATTGGAGATAAGAGTTTCATGGACTTTCGTGCCAAGGCTGGCTTTGAACCGAGATCCTCAGATCTCAGCCTCCTGAGCAGCTAGGATTACAGGCGTGAACCACCGGCGCCTGGCTTGTACAACAACTTAAAGATAGTCCTTTCTTTTGGGTGCTAGTCCTGGTGTTGATTTCAGGGCACTCTCCCTGAGCTTTTCTGCTAAAGACTAGCGCTTTCCCACTTGAGCCACAGTTCCACTGCCGGCTTTTTTTTTTGGTGCTTAATTGGAGATAAGAGTTTGGTGGACTTTGCTAGCTGGCTTTGAACCACGATCCTCAGGGCTAGCCTCTTGAGTAGCTAGCATTATAGGCGTGAGCCACGGAGCCCGGCAAAGACAAAGTCTCAATGGCTCAGTTCCCATAATTCTAGTTTGCCACTGCAAGATCACGAGAAGTCTAATTCCTGCCAAGATAACAATGGGTAGAATCAGAATTTGTGGCACAACCTCCTTGGGGTTCTGGGCCACAGGTGGCTGGCTTCTTAAATTTGATCCAAAGTCAAATCTTGAGATTATCCTTCAGGCGTTTTAAATTTGCATAAGGCTCATTACGAGTGGATAAATCAAATGGCAAATCTGCACGCCCTCGCGCATGGCCGACGCGGCTCCTTTTCTGGCAGAGCTCACCGCAGAGGCCCTGGCCCTTTAAGTCCAAGCGCGAAGCCCCGCCCTGGCTCCAGCGCCCCGCCCCGCTCGCTGAAGTCGTGGGCCGCGGCAGTGCCCGAGCGCGCCCCGCCCTCCCCAGCTGTGCACCCGCGGTCCAGCTGTGCGCGCACGTCGGGAGTCCAGCCATGTCCGCCGAGAGAGAGGCAGCGGAGACGGCCACTGTGGTGGCGGTGGCCGAGGCAGGGACCGGGGAAGATGCCCCTTCGGAGCCCCCCAAAACCGAGGCACCGAACGATCCCCAGCCGAGCGCAGCCTCCGAAGGGGCGGCGGCCGCCTCTCCGCCGCCGGTGCGCTGCCTGGTACTCACCGGCTTCGGCGGCTACGACAAGGTGAAACTGCAGAGCCGGCCCGCCGCGACCCCGGCCCCAGGCCCCGGACAGCTAACACTGCGCGTCCGGGCCTGTGGACTCAACTTCGCTGACCTCATGGCTCGGCAGGGGGTGTACGACCGGCTGCCGCCGCTGCCCTTCACCCCGGGCATGGAGGGCGCCGGCGTCGTGATCGCCGTGGGCGAGGGAGTGAGCGACCGTAAGGTAAGCGGGCCCGGGTAGGTCTTCAAGCCCGGGAAGGGTGGCAGCGGCCTCCGGCGGTGGGGCAGGGATGGGCGGGCTCCGGGGGTGTGGCAGTGGGAAGAGGGGAATCTGGCGTGGACTGGGGTGGACCAGCATGGAAAGCGTCCGAAAGGAACTGTTTTTGGGGCTCCTGGAGAAGGAGATTTATTTGCGGGAGGGACGCGGATGGGCTGATTGCCCCTTCCCTAACCATGCGTTGCGGCCAACGCCCCAAAGCAGTCGTGGGGTAGGGTGGGTTGGGGGAAAACAATAAGACGCCCAGGCGCATGCGCACAATAACTTGCCCGCAGCCTTCTTCTCTCCACCCCCCCCCACACCCAGTAAAACCACACCTGTGCCCCTAACCCACCAAACACTCCCCGGGCAGTGGTGAGTCCAGTGACCCCCGCTCGCTCCCCGCAGTGATGGTTGGCGTCTCCTTTCCTCAAGGGAGCTCGGAGGAGCTGTGTTATTCGAGACTGGGCGGGGGCGCAGTGGCCGTGCCAGAGCCCCAGTCACATGCAGCCCCGTGGTCTGTGAGGGGTGAGGCTGCCGCTCTCCCGGCAGGGCCTAGGAGGGGACACGCCCATCATGGAGGAGAAGGAGATTCGCTCGCGCTCTCTCGCACTGCCCGCCGCTTGAAGCCGAGAGTCTGGTTATTTGTTTGTTGGTTTTGGGTGGATCTGGCAGGACAGGGGTCTCTGGATCTTTGTCTTGGGCTCTCCCTTCGGTGACTGTAGTCTTTTCTGTGACTCAGCCCGGGGACTATGTATGACCCAGGGCTGCCCTGGAGCACGTCCACTTCCACTTCCGGGCAGAACCTTTTCTGCCTTCCTTACCGAGGACTCCCACCCCCCAACTTCAGAAACCCCAGTACTGCCCATTTGGACCGAGGAGGAGGTGTGGCACTGTGAGCAGGTTCACCCAGCTCTGCCGGTCTCTTTCTCCTTCTCATTTATCATTAATCTTGGCCACAGCCCCAGAATCAGGAGACTTCCAGATGACCAACTTTTTTTTTTTGAGAGAGGCACAGTGAAAACACCTCCTGTATTCAGGGTTTTCTTTTCAAAGCTGGATCCTTCCAGAGATGCCCCTCAGGTGCAATGTAACCTTGCCAGCACCAGATAGCAGAGCTAGATTTGCTAAGACGTATTGTACTGTGCAAATAGCTAACCTGCTGAAAGGACTGCTCCACTAATTCAACTCTGGCCCCACCCTTGGTCTGACTTCTAAATAATGCTCACTCTTGGGAAGGTGCTAGGAGGAATTTGGGGGAGGGAAAAGGAAAGAGTTGCTGTTCCAATTACTGTTGAAGGCCACTCGTCTGCCCTTCCTTCCCACACTTTCCGCCTGGTAAATACAGGATATCCTGACCAGGGCAAGAACCTGATGTGATGTAAGAGCCTGGAGTCTTTGAGAGAGGGCTCTCCCTCCCTCCTGCTGTCTGGACTGGGGATGGGGTTGGGGTCATGGCCCTGACTAGTGATTGACTGAGAGGCATGAGCCAGATGAGTGAGATATTCTGGGTAACATCTGAGACTAGCCATTACCTCAGAAGGCTACTACACAGTTCTAGTTCTCCTAGATTGGTGGTGCATTGGTGAGACTTGAGTCCTGGGGTACAAGGCTTCATCCTTCAGACCAGGTTTTCTTACTATATAGATACCCTTCATTCCTTGACAGTAACTACAACAGACTCAGATTGTCTGAGAACCACACCCACACCTCCCTTCCCAAGCTTGCTCTTCAGAGATCCAAGAGAAGACTTCCTACTCACCCAGACTCCTCCCTGCCCTTCCCTTTGACCTCAGTTTCTAAGCTGGAGGTATTCTATCATCTTTACCCCCTTTCCTTCCTGCAAGAGGCTCTCAGGCAAATGGCTAAGAATGGGGGAATATGTCTTTTTCTGGTGGCTGGCATGTGTCTCTCCTTACACATCACCCATCCTGTACTACTTCTGGGTGAAGGTGTTTTCTGAGCCCTCAGTGCTGGCTCAAAATACAACTTTGCCTGAGGTAGTCACACCCAGTTCCAAGTGTTCTGAGGCAGGTGCTCCAGCAGGTCCCTTACCACATGCTGGCCTCTTCCTTCAGTTATTTGATTGTGTGACTTCCCTTTTTTGATGTTATTATTATTATTAACTAAAATTACTGAATACTTCCTATATGCTGGGCATGGAGCTAAAAGTCACTGAGTGAATGTATTTTTTTCTCATCTAATGCTTCTAATTCCTCTACGTAGATAAGAAAAGAGATTAAATCATTTTATTTGCTTAAGGTCACACTGCCAGTATGGCAGAGGCCATTTTATAGTAATCAAAGCAGTTTGGCCAGGCTCCTGTGTCCCATGCCTTCTAATCTTAACTAATCAGGAAGCTGAAATCTAAGGATCACAGTTTGAAGCCAGTCCACGCTGTCCCTCAGCTCTTCAGCTCTAGGCGAGCATTCTACCGTTTGATCCACAGCGCCACTTCTGGTTTTCTGGTGGTTTATTGGAGATAAGAGTCTCATGGACTTTCCTGCCCGGGCTGGCTTTGAACCTCGATCCTCAGATCTCAGCCTCCTGAGTAGTTAGGATCACCGGCGCCCGGCTGAGAATTAAACAGCAACAAACAAACAGAAGTGGAGTTGTGGCTTAAGTGGTAAAGCTCTAGCCTTGAGCAGAAAAGCTCAGGGACAGCACCTAAGTTCAAGCCCCAGAACAATCTCTCTCTCCTCTCTCTCTCTCTCTTCTCCCCCTGTCTGTCTGTCTGTCTCTCTCTCTCTCTCTCTCTCTCTCACACACACACACACACACAATTTGGGCTCAACAACAATACCCATGCTGCCCTAACTATAAGCTTCTTGCATTCAAAGATCTTGCATAATAATGAAATGTGTGATCTGTAAAAGAGAGATAAGGATAGTATCTACCTCAAAGCTGATATAAGCATTGCACACTTTATATTTAATAAAACGCTTGGAGTATGTATACAACACACACATGTATATATGTATGCCTATGACATTCACTTGAGTAAGCCTTGGTAAAAGTAAGTTCTCGCTGATGATATTATTCTCCTATTAGTACGATGACCACTACTGCTGCTGCTTGTGCTATTTCATCTCAAAGGAGAAGCCTGGTACAAAATAAAGGTCAGTAAATGTCCTGTGGTTGAACGAATGAGTCACTGAATGCTACTCTATCTTCCATTCCTGCAGGTAGGGGACCGAGTGATGGTGTTGATCCGGTTAGGGATGTGGCAGGAGGAGGTGACTGTACCAGCAGCGAACACCTTTCTGATGCCTGAGGCAATGACCTTTGAAGAAGCTGCTGCCTTGCTGGTCAACTATGTCACAGCCTACATGGTCCTTTTTGACTTCGGCAACCTAAGGCCTGGCCACAGTGTCTTGGTCCACATGGCTGCAGGTGACAGATCCCTTCTCTTTTACCTTCCCCTCCCCCCTTGCCCTACCCTGGTTTCCTTCCAGCCCCTTCCTGTAGCCTGTCTGGCTTGTTGTCATAGCAACACCAGGCTGCCTTGGCCTATGGTGCCCAGAGGCCTCTGCAGTATAGTTGCCGTGGTAACACCCAGGCACCAGGTCCAGCTTGGTATCCTTAGCAATGTGTCCTCAGCCCACGCCTCCTCCTATCTCGTCACCTTCCCCCAATTCTCAGTCATAACTTTGGACAGGGGCCCCTAAATAAGCCAAAGTAGAATGCAGATGATGTACTGGCTGGGCCCTTGGGGAGGCTAATGTGTAGAATAGTGGCCAAGTGACTCCATATCCCTCTTTTTTTGGTGTCTTGCCATAGGTGGTGTGGGTATGGCAGCTGGGCAGCTATGTCGCACTGTGGAGAATGTGACAGTGTTTGGAACAGCCTCAGCCAGCAAGCATGAAATGCTGAAGGAGAATGGGGTCACACACCCTATTGATTATCACACCACTGACTATGTGGATGAGATCAAGAAGATCTCCCCCAAAGGTGGGATCAGGGTTTGAGAGGGGGTAGGATGCCACAGGTCAGGGAAGGGGGATCTCCAGATCTGTGAATCCTCATGCTGTTCCTGTGTCTTCCAAATCTGTGACAGGAGTGGACATCGTCATGGATCCTCTGGGCGGGTCAGATACTGCCAAGGGCTACAATCTCCTCAAACCCATGGGCAAAGTTGTCACCTATGGTGAGTTTAGTGGTTGGGGATGGAAAGGATGTATGGAGCAGTAGGTTGGGTCTGATGTGTGGGATGTGGGGGCCAGATAAAGAAGGGGAAGAGACTTGGGGCTTCACAGACAGGGTCCTAGAATTGCAAATAATACATTTCTGTTTCCTGAGTGCCAACTATACTTTCATTCTGTTTCACAACTTCTCATGTGAGTCATAGTAAATCCTTCCTTCTCTCTGTACCACTATTTTGGGGATTATTTCTAATGAAAAACCAACCAGTCTGTCTTCCAACTCACTGCCTTCTTGTACAAACTGGATTTTCGTTTAAAACCTTTTTTCACCTTAGGCACTGGTGGCTCATGTGTATAATCCAAGTTACTTAGGAGGCTGAGATCTGGAAGAACCAGATTTGAAGCTAGTTAGCCTAGGAGAAAAATCTGAGAGACTCTTTTTTTTTTTGTAGGTCATGGGGCTTGAACTCTGGGCCTGGGTACTGTCCCTCAGCTCTTCAGCTCAAGGCTAGCGATCTACCACTGAGCCACAGCATCACTTCCGATTTTCTGGTGGTTTATTGGAGATAAGAGTCTCCTGGACTTTCCTGCCCGGGCTGGCTTTGAACATGGATCCTCCTAAGTAGATCTCAGCCTCCTGAGTAGCTAGGATTACAGGCATGAGCCACCGATGTCCGGCTCTGAGAGACTCTTATCTCCAGTTAACTAGCAAAAAGTTGGAAATGGAGGGGCTGGGAAGGTGGCTCAGTAGTAGCGCGCTTGCCTTGCATGCCTGAGGCCCTGGGTTCCATTCCTCAGCACCACATAAGCAAAAAGAAAAAAGCCGGAAGTGGCGCTGTGGCTCAAGTGGTAGAGTGCTAGCCTTGAGCTGAAGAGCTGAGGGACAGCGCCCAGGCCCAGAGTTCAAGCACTACAACTGACCAAAAAAAAAAAAGTTGGAAATGGAGATATGGCTCAAGGGGTAGCATACTTGCCTTGAGTGGAAAAAGCTAGGTAAAAGTGTAAGGCCCTGAACCCTGAGTTCAAGCTGTACCTAAAAAAGATTATAGCAATTTTTATTTATTTATTTACTCAAAGTTGGTGTGGGTCTGGTAAATAGGAGGTTAGGGATCATTCTGTCATCCTCCTTGGCACTGATACGGACAATTGCAAGCAAAGTATGGGTTCAGACCTACAATAATGGGCCTGGCACCTGGACCACAGCTAAGTTATCCTATCCCTCAGGAATGGCCAACCTGGTGACGGGCCCCAAGCGGAACCTGATGGCCCTGGCCCGCACATGGTGGAATCAATTCAGTGTGACAGCTCTGCAGTTATTGCAGGCAAACCGAGCCGTGTGTGGCTTCAACTTAGGCAACCTGGAGGGTGAGGTGGAGCTGGTCAGGAGTGTAATCATCCGCCTCCTGGAGCTATACAACCAGGGCCACATCAAACCCCACATTGACTCCGTCTGGCCCTTTGAGAAGGTGAGTATGGTGGCGGCAGGAGGGGCCTGGAGAAGACTTGTGAAAGCCTGGGGCTCAAGATTCCTGGAGAAGAAGGGACTGACAGGGTTGGGCTGGCTCTTGTTGGATAGGGGCTGGATGGCTTTGAAATCAGAGTTTTCTCTTCCTTAACAGGTGGCTGATGCCATGAAACAAATGCAGGAAAAGAAGAATGTGGGCAAGGTCCTCCTAGTTCCCGGGCAGGAGAAGGAGAACTAGCGTTGAGGGGGCCAAGGGCTCTTGAGACTGGCCATGGAAACATTGAGAAGCCCCTGTTCTGTTGACTACCAGCCTGTCACATTTCATCCTCTATCTTAATGCTCTACCCTTCCTTCCCCCAAAGGTCTCCGTGATGATGACTGATTCCTTGCCCTGATCAAGGTCAGGGCTTCCCCCTCCCCCTTCCCACCCTCAGAAGAGGTTGGGAAGTGACCACTTGGATGTTCAGGCCCTGCCAAGGGGTAGGGAGGGTGTGAGGGAGGCTAGTTGCTTCCTGGTCCCATCCTCCACCCCCACCCAGGCCTGCTGTGCTGCTTTTGTGCCAAGGTTAGCCAGCCCCTCCCTTCCCCAAGCTCCCATCCTTCCCCCCATCCCCCCCTGCCATGTGTGTGTGTGTGTGTGTGTGTGTGTGTGTGTGTGTGTGCGTGCACGCACGCATTTCCCCCTCTGCTTCATCTCTCATCTTCCCTTCCTCTTCTGCCCTATCCCCCAAAGAACTGAAATGTCAGCTCAGGATATGGGGCTACTTGTGTGAAGTCCAGCATGTAGTTGTCTCCCTCGTGTCCCTTTAACCCAGGCCTACCATCGCTCAGCTCTTGACCTTGATCAGTGCCCAGCCTTGTCTTCTGTCCCCCAACTTCTTAAGCACAATTGGATTTCTTTCACCTCCAGGTTTTCTGCCATTCTTAACCAAGGCTGCCTCCTACAGCAAGGGCAAGAATCAAACTGACTTCCCTTAGGCCACAACTCTGGGAGGATACTGAGCACCCCTTCCCTTCACTGAGGTCTCTGGATGTTGTTCTCAGTGCCTTAGCGTCGGAAAACCTGTGCTTATGTGTGTGTGTGTAGGTATGGGGGGGTCCCCTCTCTCCAGCCTCTTTTATCCACCCTGTCCTTCCCAGTGCCTTCCTTGTCCTGGTGGAGCTGGGGTTTTACTGCTCCCCAGTGAGACAACACTGCCAAATATCTGTGTATGTGCCAGCAATTGGGGAGGCCAGCCTCTAGCGTCAGGGGCAGGATCAAGGCAAAAAAAAAAAAAAGCTTCACTGTGGTCTGTGCCATTTCCTGTCTCTTGTCAGTGACAGAGAAAGAGGTGGGAAAGCTTTACCAACCAGAGCCCTGAGAGGCGCTGCAGTGTCTTCTTCTGGGACCAAAGTGAACATTGAAGCACATTCCCTTGGCCTTCAAGAGAGGCCTGCTTGCCTTCTCAGAGAAGAGGGGCAGCTTTTCAGTTCAGCCTTGAACTTTGTTTACATGCTTGGGGAGGTGGAGCAGGGGGTAGTTAGGACTGGGCTGCTGGAACCAAAGTGGGGACTTTCTGGGGGGGGGGGCACCCCCCTCTGCTGCAGAACTGGGATTAGGGAGGGTTTATGACCCCAGCCATTGCCAATGGGAGGAGGGAGGGGAGGAGCTCAGCCTGTTCCTAAATGTCATCTAAATGAGGCCTCAATGTGGGAAGTTGATTTCTGCTTTTGTGTTCCCCACCCCATTACCACAGCTGCCTTTGTGTTTGTGTCAATAAAAAGCCAAACCCTTGGTCCTGGATGATGCCTCTGAGAGTGAAACTGTGGGGGAGCTTATTTATAGAATGCCAGTGCTAATAGCAGGAGGTCAGGGTTCTTCCTTCCCCCACTGCCTCCCTTCCATGCCCAAACCCACTTTCCTTTCGTGAATGAAGTAAGAAAGAGCAAAACAAAACAGGCCAAGTACCTGTGGCTCACGCCTGTAATCCTAGTTACTCAGGAGGCTGAGATCTAAGGATCATGGTTCAAAGCCAGTTTAGGCAAGGAAAGTCCGTGATATTAACTACCAGAAAACCGGAAGCGGCACTGTGGCTCAAGTGGTAGAGTGCTTGCCTCGAGCTGAAGAGCTGAGGGACAGTGCCCAGGCCCAGAATTCAAGCTCCACGCCCAACAAAAAGAAACCATGATGCCATGTAATTCATGTTTTGCAACTTGGAATCCCTGCCCCCTGCTGGTGAACATGAAGATCTCTCTCACACATACAAACATGCAATTTAGGGGGACTCAGAAGTGAAGACTGCCAGGCCCTGCTGTCCTGGGGGCACCACTGTCAGGTCTTCCACCTCTCCGCCCCCCCGGGTGGGCTTCTGAAAATGGATCTCTAGGATGTCGTGCAGTTCCTGGCTGTCAAGGACATCAGGAATGTTGACCACCAGAACTGAGCGGGCCACAGGCTGACATTTGATCTGGAAGAGAGCCAGGAGATGGCAAAGGCTCATGGGAGTATAGGGCTGGGGGTCAGAGGTCAGCAGTGCCTCATGGGAATATGAGGTTGTTCAGGTGGTCCAGGGAGGTTTGGGGTTTGTTCTCTGCTTTCCTTGGGCAGGTTCTTGGACAGCCTGTTTCTCTACCCAACCACTTACCTCAGCCTTCTGGATCTTCCCACTCACATACGGAGAGACTTTCAGAGTGACCTGCTGTCCACCCAGTGACACTCTGAACTGGCCAATCTGGCACAGGTTCTGGGCCACTGTGGAGAACAGAGAGGGTAGACTTTTGGCATCAGGGCCTCTCGTCTCCCAGCCTCATGCACCCTGAACCCTGATCTCCCCTGCAGGGATCGTACCTTCTTCCTTGGCAAAACCCAGCATGACACTTCCTTGCAACAGTTCCCGAGTCTCCACGTCCCCACCTCCATTCCTGGCCTTGCCAAAGAAGATCTCCAGCTTATCCAACAGCTCCTCCTCCTTCAGCTCAAGTCCTGAAGGAATTCCACTGACCAGTACCCTCTGTCCGTCTGGCTGGTTGGACACCTAAAGGGAAATGAGAGCTGGGTATCAGTGGCTCATGACAATAATCCTAGCTACTCAGGAGGCTGAGATCTGAGGATCCTGATTCAAAGCCAGCCCAGGCAGACAAATTTGAGAGACTTTTATCTCTAATTAGCCACCAAAAAGCTACATGTGGAGGTATGGGTCAAGGAAAAGAGCATGAACCTTGAGTAGAAAAGCCAAGCAAGAGTGTGAGGCTCTGAGTACAAGCCCCAGTACTGGCACCAAAAAAAAAAATCAAGTGTTGGTGGCTCATGCCTATAATCCTATTTAGGAGTCTGAGATCTGAGGATCATAGTTCAAAGCCAGCCCAGGCAGGAAAGTCCATGAGACTCTTAGCTCCCTCAAATAAACTACCAGAAAGCTGGACATGGAGCTGTGGCTCAAGTGGTAGAATGTGAACTTTGAGCAAAAGTGACTCAGGAGACTGAGATCTGAGGAATGCAGTTCAAAGCTAGCTTGGGCCGGGCCAGCTTATCTCCAATTAACCACCAGAAAACCAGAAGTGGAGCTGTGGCTTAAAGTGGTAGAGCACCAGCCTTGAGCAAAAGAGCTCAGGGATAATGCCCAGGCCCTGAGTTCAAGCTCAATGACAAAAAAAAAAAAAAAAGCCAGGTGTAGGACCAATGCTCTGAGTTCAAGCCCCAGAACTGGCACCAAGCTGGTGGCTCACGCCTGTAATCCTAGCTACTCAGGAGGCTGAGATCTGAGGATTGCAGTTCAAAGCCAGCCTGGGCAGGAGAGACCGTGAAACTCCTATCTCCAATAAACCACCAGAAAACCGGAAGTGGCACGGTAGCTCAAGTGGTAGAGCACTCACCTTGAGCTGAAGAGCTGAGGGATAGCGCCCAGGCCCAGAGTTCAAGTCCCACGACCGACCAAAAAAAAAAAAAAGAACTGGCACCAAAGGGATGGGAAGGGGAAACAAAGGAGGAGGCTACAATACTTGATAAGAAATGTACTCATTGGGGCTGGGAAGGTGGCTCAGTGGTAGAGCGCTTGCCTTGCAAGCATGAGGCCCTGGGTTCGATTCCTCAACACCACATAAGCAAAAAGAAAAAAGCCAGAAGTGGCGCTGTGGCTCAAGTGGTAGAGCGCTAGCCTTGAGCTGAAGAGCTGAGGGACAGCGTCCAGGCCCAGAGTTCAGGCCCCACGACTGGACTCCCCCCCCCAAAATAAAAAGAAATGTACTCATTATCTTGCCCATGTAATTGTAACCCCTCTATACAGTATTTTCACAATAAAAAAAAAAGTGGGGGGGAGGCTGGGAAGTTGGCTCAGTTGTAGAGTGTGTGCCTTGCATGCATGAGGCTTTGGGTTTGATTCCTCAGCACCACAAAAGCAGAAAAAGCTGGAAGTGGCACTGTGGCTCAAGTGGTATAGCACTAGCCTTGAGCTGAGGGACAGCGTCCAGGCCCAGAGCTCAGGCACCATGACCAACCAAAAAAAAAAGATGGAGACAGGAAGCCCACTTCCTGGGCCCAAATGTATCCACGCACCTTGCATGTCCCAGAACTCTGCCTTTCTATTACCTGGATGGTGGTCATACTGGGCAGCTCTAAAGGCTGGACCTCTACCAGCAGTCGGCACTCCTCCATGTCAATCTTATGTACTTTTTTGCGAAGGACCTGCTCCGCCACTGGGTGGTAAGAAGAATCTAGGTGAGTACTGAGAAACCTCCCAGCCTCCCTCCAGACTGCCTCTGCCCCCAGGCTCACCTTTGGGGTCATCAAAGGTAACCAGAGCAGAACTTCCAGGCAGAGGGCAGCACATCTGCAGGTTGGAAAACAAATACTTCGGCACTTCTTGGCTTTCCTCTGTGTGTCCTCGGAATACCAGGGGGACTTCAGGCATTGGGAATGGGACCTGGAGGTGGGGGGAAAACAGGTTTATACAAACTATAAAGGAAGGGTTCCCACTCCTCCCAGAAGGAAAATGTTCCCAATTCTATTGGATCAACCCTCAATAATGAATACATCTACTGAAAGAATTGGATGGAAACAAGTCAGGCCCAAATTGGGATCTTTACATACAATCTCCTAGCTGAGAGGGAGGTAGCTTCACTTGCCACATGAGAAAATTGAAGTTCAGAGAGTTTAAGTAACACACAATATCATACAAAGAAGCCAGGAGACCTCTGGTGGCTCATGCCTGTAATCCTAGCTGCAGCTCAAGTGGTAGAGGGCCAGGCTTCAGCAAAAAAGCTAAGCAAGGGGCTGGGAATGAGGCTTAGTGTTAGAGTGCTTGCCTAACGTGCATGAAGCCCTGGGTTTGATTGCTACTATCACATTAACAGAAAAAGCTGGAGGTGGCGCTGTGGCTCAAGTGGTAGAGTGCTAAGCCTTGAGCACAAAGAGGCTCAGAGACAGAGTCCAGGCCCTGAGTTCAAGCCCCAGGACTGACAAAAAAAAAAAAAGAAAGAAAAAGCTAAGCAAGGCCAGGCAGTAGTGGCTCATGCCTGTAATCCTAGCTACTCAGGAGGCTGAGATCTGAGGATCACGGTTCAAAGCCAGCCCGGGCAGGAGAGACCGTGAGACTCCTATCTCCAATAAACCACCAGAAAACCGGAGTGGAGCTGTGGCTCAAGTGGTAGAGTGCTCGCCTTGAGCTGAAGAGCTGAGGGACAGCACCCAGGCCCAGAGTTCAAGCCCCACGGCCGACCAAAAAAAAAAAAAAGCTAAGCAAGAATGCTAGGTCCTGGGGCTGGGAAGATGGCTCTGGCTCAGTGGTAGAGTGCTTGCCTTACATGCATGAGGCTCTGGGTTCGATTCCTCTGCACCACTTAAGCAGAAAAAGCTGGAAGAGGCGCTGTGGCTCAAATGGTAGAGCCTTGAGCCTTGAGCTGAGGAACAGTGCCCAGGCCCAGTTCAGGTCACATGACCAGCAAAAAAAAAAAATGGTAGGTCCTAAGCCAAGTGCTGGTGGCTTACACCTTTAATCCTAGCTACTCAGGAGGCAGAGATCTGAGGATTACTGTTTGAAGCCAGCCCAGACGAGGTAAGTCCATGAGATGCTTATTTCCAATACTCAGAAAAAGCCAAAAGTGGGGCTGGGGAATGTGGCTTAGTGGTAGAGTGCTTGCCTAGCATGCATGAAGCCCTGGATTTGATTACTCAGTATCACATACACAGAAAAGGCTAGAAGTGGCACTGTGGCTCAAGTGGTAGAGGGCTAGCTTTGAGCAAAAGAAGCTCAGGGATAGTGCCCAAGCCCTGAATTCAAGTCCCAAGAGTGCACAAAATAAAGAAATAAAGAATGGAAGGTCCTGAATTCAAGCCCAAGTGCCAGCATAAAAAGAAAGAAAGAGGGGCTGGGAAGGTGGCTCAGTGGTAGAGTGCTTGCCTTGCATGCATGAGGACCTCAGTTCAATTCCTTAGCACCACATAAGCAGAAAAAGCTGGAAGTGGCGCTGTGGTTCAAGTGGTAGAGCGCTAGCCTTGAGCTGAAGAGCTGAGGGACAGCACCCAGGCCCAGAGTTCAGGCCCCACGGCCAGCAAAGAAAGGAAGGAAAGAAAGAAAGAAAGAAAGAAAGAAAGAAAGAAAGAAAGAAAGAAAGAAAGAAAGAAAGAAAGAAAGAAAGAAGAAAGAAAATCACACAGAAAGTGGCCAAAGAGTGCTGATGGATCACACCTATAATCCTAGATACTCAAAGATTGAGATCTGAAGATCGAGGTTCAAAACCAATTTGAGCAGGAAAACCTGTGAGACTTTTTTTTTTTTTTGCCAGTCCTAGGGCTTGAACTCAGGGCCTAGGCTCTGTCCCTGAGCCTCTTTTTGTACTCAAGACTAGCGCTCTACCATTTGAGCCACAGCACCACTTCCAGCTCTTTCTGAGTAGTTTGTTGGAGGTAAGAGTCTCACAGACTTTTCTGCCCAGGATCATTTTGAACCATGATCCCCAGATTTCAGCCTCCTGAGTAGCTAGGATTATAGGCATGAGCCACCAGTTAGACTCTTGCCTCCAATTAACCAGCAAAAAAGCCAGAAGTGGGGCTGTGGCTCAGTGGTAGAATGCAAGCCTTGAGTGGAAAAAGCTGAGGGACAGTACTCAAACTCGCAATTCAAACCCCAATGCTGGCACAAAAAGAAAAGGAAGGAAGGAAGGAGGACAGAGACAGGAGTAAACTAAGAACTCTCCACCCACCCTCCCTCCTTCCTTCCTTTCTTCCTTCCTTCTTTCCCTCCCTCCCTCCCTCCCTCCCTCCCTCTTTCTTTCTCTTTCTTTCTTTCTTCTCTTTCCTTCCTTTTCTCTTTTTCTCTTTCCTTCTTTCTTTTTCTTTCTTTGTGTTTTTCTTCTTTCTTTACCAGACACACTCCTTACCTTGTCTTTGGTGGAGTCCCTTAGCTCCCTTCTCAGCTTCTGTAGCTCCTGTAGCTTCATCTTTAGTCTGGTCTGCTCCTCCTGCAGAGTACAGAGGACCTATGGAAGCAGAAAAGAACAAAAAGACCTTTCCTGACCTACCTCTCCAGAGAGCAAGGGCCCAGGGCAGAAAGGGCTGCTCTGGACTGGAGAAGCCCAGATGATGTACAGCTCCAGGACAATCCAACTTTTTTTCCCAGGTTGGTTCCAGCTCACTCCACCTAAGGAGTGTTTGGTCTCAGCAGCTGGCAAAAGGACAGGAATCTTGTTTCTGCATACTGAAAGTTTCTTTTCTTTTCTTTTTTTTGGGTCCGGTCATGGGGCCTGTACTCTGGGCCTGGGCGCTGTCCCTCAGCTCTTCAGCTCAAGGCTAGCGCTCTACCACTTGAGCCACAGCACCACTTCCGGCTTTTTTTCTCTTTGCTTATGTGGTGCTGAGGAATCGAACCCAGGGCCTCAGGCATGCAAGGCAAGTGCTCTACCACTGAGCCACCTTCCCAGCCCCCCAGCTATATATATATATATATATATAATTTTTTTTTTTTTTTGTCAGTCGTGGGGCTTGAACTCTGGGCCTGGGCGCTGTCCCTCAGCTCTTCAGCTCAAGGTGAGCGCTCTACCACTTGAGCTACAGCGCCACTTCCAGTTTTCTAGTGGTTTATTGGAGATAGGAGTCTCACAGCCTTTCCTGCCCGGGCTGGTTTTGAACCGTGATCCTCAGATCTCAGCCTCCTGAGTAGCTAGGATTACAGGTGTGAGCCACCAGCACCCGGCCCTCCAGCTATATTTTTGAAACAGAGTCTCAATAACTTTTTCCAGGCTGGAAACACTAGCAGTCCAGTCTCCAACTTGCTGAATAGCTGATATTACAGACATGTATCACCACACCAACTCTGCTAACTTTTTGTTGGCGGGGGACAAGGCTGGAGATTGAACCCTAATCCTTGGGTATGCTAAGTATCTGCTCTACCACTGAGCTACCAGCCTGTTAATATTTATTAAATAAGTATGATAGGGGCTGGGAAGGTGGCTCAGTAGTAGAGCGCTTGCTTTGCATGCATGAGGCCCTGGGTTTGATTCCTCAGCACCACATAAGCAAAAAGAAAAAAGCCGGAAGTGGCATTGTGGCTCAAGTGGTAGAGTGCTAGCCTTGAGCTGCAGAGCTGAGGGACAGCGCCCAGGCCCAGAGTTCAGGCCCCACGACTGACCAAAAAAAATATTAAAAAAATTAAAAATAAATAAATAAGTATGATATATCAAGCACCAACCTAAGTCTTTTAAATGAATTGTATAATTCATAATAATCCTATGTGATAATATCTTTTCTTTGTATGCCAGTATTTAGGCCTGATCTCAGAGTTTTATTCATTGCAGCTGATATTCTACCATGTAAGCCACACCTCCACTTCTGTCTTTTTGCTGGTTTATTGGAGATAAAAGTCTCATGGGGCTGAGAATGTGGTTTAATGGTAGAGTGCTTGTCTAGCATGCATGAAGTCCTGGGATCAATTCCTCAGTACCATGTAAACAGAAAAATCCAGAAGTGGTGCTGTGGCGTGGGTGGTAGAGTGAGTGCTAGCCTTGAGCAAAAGAAGCTCAGGGACAGTGCTCAGGCTCTGAATTTAAGCCTCAGGACTGGAGGGAAAATCTCATGGAATTGTCTGCCTAGGCTAGCTTTGAACCTTAATCCTTAGATCTCAGCCTCCTGAGTAGCTAGGATTATAGTAGTGAGCCACTGGCATGTGACAAGAGAGATACTCTCTAACCCTTTTTTAGGAATTAATATTATTGGGCTGGGGAGGTGGCTCAGCGGTAAAGTGCTTGCCTTGCATGCATGAGGCCCTGGGTTTGATTCCTCAGCACCACATAAACAAAAAGAAAAAAGCCGGAAGTGGTGCTGTGGCTCAAGTGGTAGAGCACTAGCCTTGAACTGAAGAGCTGAGGGATAGCGCCCAGGCCCAGAGTTCAGGCCCCACGACTCACCAAAAAAAAAAAAAGCTGGGCGCTGGTGGCTCCTGCCTGTAATCCTAGCTACTCAGGAGGCTGAGATCTGAGGATCGCGGTTCAAAGCCAGCCTGGACAGGAAAGACCGTGAGACTCCTATCTCCAATAAACCACCAGAAAACTGGAAGTGGCACTGTAGCTCAAGTGGTAGAGCGCATGCCTTGAGCTGAAGAGCTGAGGGACAGTGCCCAGGCCCAGAATTCAAGCCCCACAACCCATAAAAAAAAAAAGTAATTAATATTATTAAGGAGTTGTACAAAGGGGTTACAATTCTACAAGTCAGTTAATGAGTATAATGTTTCTTGGACAATATCACTCCTTCATGTTCACCCATTTCCCCCCATCTACCCTTATTTTACAGATGAGAAAAGTAACTTTAAAAAAATTAAAGAGGGCTGGGAAGGTGGCTCAGTGGTAGAGCGCTTGCCTTGCATGCTCAAGGCCCTGGGTTCGATTCCTCAGCACCACATAAGCAAAAAGAAAAAAGCCGGAAGTAGCACTGTGGCTCAAGTGGTAGAGTGCTAGCCTTGAGCTGAAGAGCTGAGGGACAGCGCCCAGGCCCAGAGTTCAGGCCCTATGACCGGACCCAAAAAAAAAAAATAAAGAAAGAAATTGCTTATTTGGGCTGGGAAGGTGGTTCAGTGGTAGAGTGCTTGTCCTGCATGCATGAGGCCCTCGGTTTGATTCTTCAGCACCACATAAGCAGAAAAAGCCAGAAGTGGGGCTGAGGCTCAAGTGGTAGAGCGCTCGTCTACAGCTGAAGAGCAGAGGGACAGCACCCAGGCCCAGAGTTCAGGCTCCACGACTGACCAAAAAAAAAAAAAAAGAAAAGAAAAAGAAATTGCTTATAGTCCTTTGCTCTAGGCAGTCTGACTTCAGACCTCCTCCTCATCCTGCCAACCAGTGCTTCTCAGCTAGAGCCCAGAGAAGGGAGGAAATTTACACATCTCCTACTACTTGTCCTTTTTTTTTTTTTGTCTGTCATGGGGCCTGAGCTCTGGGCCTGGGCGCTGTCCCTCAGCTCTTCAGCTCAAGGCTAGCGCTCTACCACTTGAGCCATAGCACCACTTCCGGCTTATGCGGTGCTGAGGAATCGGACCCAAGGCCTCGTGCATGCAAGGCAAGACCTCTACCACTGAGCCACCTTCCCAGCCTCCCCCCTTTTTTTTTTTTTGCCAGTCCTGGGGCTTGAACTCAGGGCCTGAGCACTGTCCCTAAGTTCCTTTTGTTCAAGGCTAGCATTCTATCACTTGAGCCACAGCACCACTTCCAGCTTTTTCTGTTTATGTGGTACTGAGGAATAGAACCCAGGGCTTCATGCATGCTAGGCAAGCACTCTATTACTTAGACACATTCCCAGCCACCTACTTGTCCTTTGGTGCCATTCTTCACGTGTCCCAAGCAGCCTTTCAGGCTGGTGTGATTTGGAGTGGATTCAGAGAAAGTACAGACAACATGGGCAGAAATTGACACCAGAGATCCAAATAAATGCACCTTTGTTTGTAAGATGAAGCAGAAATTGGCTGGCAGAGTTTATACTATGGCTAGGAAGTCTGATAAATTAGGTCTGCTCAGAGAAGAGGCAAGATTGGACTCTATCCTGATAACCTCTGAATCCCCAGTATCCAGAAAAGTCCCTGGCACAAAACATTTGGTTAGTATATATGTTTTGAATGAATGAATAAAATGAATGAATGAATGACAGGAGGGGAGCATGTTACAGAGGACACTGAAGAAATCCAATTGAGTTTATTCTTTTTTTGTTTTTTTTTGGTTGATCATGGGTCTTGAACTTATGGCCTGGCCTGGGTGCTGTCCCTGAGCTCATTAGCTCAAGGTTATTGCTCTACTACTTTGAGCCACAGTGCCATTTCCAGTTTTATGGTGGTTAATTGGACATAAGAGTCTCTCGGACTTTCCTGCCCAGGCTGGCTTTAAACCTTGGCCCTCAGAACTCAGCCTCCTGAGTATCTAGGCTTACAGGTGGGAGCCATCACCTGTAATCAGCAAGGATCCCAGAGTTTTGTATAAAGGAGCAGCAGAGGAAATATGTCAGTAGCTACTGAAGACTTACTATGTGCCAGGCACAGTCAGACCCATTTAAGCATCACAAAATCACAGGGTGGACTGGTGGTTGTAGCTCAGTGGCAGAGCATGTGCCTAGCATTTTCAAGTCTCTGATTACATCCTTACTACCATGTTGGAAAAAGAAAAAGATGCCAGGGCTCATGGCTCATGCTTGTCATCCTAGCTACTCAAGAGGCTGAGATCTAAGGATTAAGGTCCAAAGCCAGCCCAGACAGGAAAGTCATGAAGCTTGCATCTATAATTTATCACCAAAAAAGCCAAAAGTGGAGCTTTGGCGTTAGCAGTAGAACAGTAGCCTTGAGCAAAAGAAAAGCTCAGGAACAGCACCCAGGCCCTGATTTCAAGCCCCAGGACTAGCACAAAAAAAAAAAAAGAAAGAGAAAGAGAGGGGCTGGGAAGGTGGCTCAGTGGTGGAGCGCTTGCCTTGCATGCATGAGGCCCTGGGTTCGATTCCTCAGCACCACATAAGCAAAAAGAAAAAAGCCGGAAGTGGCGCTGTGGCTCAAGTGGTAGAGCACTAGCCTTGAGCTGAAGAGCTGAGGGACAGCGCCCAGGCCCAGAGTTCAGGCCCCATGACTGGACCCCCCCCAAAAAAAAAAAAGAAAGAGAAAGAGACAGAGAAAAAGAAAAAGGAAAAAGAAAAAGAAAGAAAAAGACCACAAAGGTTTAGCAACTTAGTGGGCATTTGGATTTTGCAATTAAAAAACAGTCATATTTATCATAAGGAAATGATCTAAGTTTATATAGTGATGGTCACCAAATTACAATGTTTAACCTACGGTTTTTTGACTTTACAATAGTATGAAAGTGATACACAATATAATGGTGGGCAGCTATTCCAACAGAATAGTAAAATGTACAGTGGATTGTGTTCTAAGCCATGATGCTCCATAGTTTAGGTGAATTCAGTGCATTTTTCTAATTTTTTTTTTTTGTCAGTCATAGACCTTGAACTCAGGGCCTGGGCACTGTCTCTGACTTTGTTTGCTCAAGACTAGTACTCACAGAGCACCAGTGGCTTATGCCCAGGACGCTGAGATCTAAAGATTGCAGTTCAAAGCTAGCCCGGACATGAAAGCCTGGGAGACTCTTAACTCCAATTAACCACCAGAAAACCGGAAGTGGCACTGTGGCTCAAGCCGTAGAGCGCTTGCTTTGAGCTGAAGCGCTCAGGGATAGTGCCCAGACCCAGAGTTCAAGACCACGACCAAAAAAAAAACAGAGAGAGAGAGAATCTGCCCAGGCTGGCTTTGAATCTTGATACTCAGATCTCAGCTTCCTGGAGTAAAAAGGATTTACACATGTGAGCCACCAGTACCCAGCACTAATACTTATTTACTTTTTATGGCGCTAGGGATGGAATCCATGGCTCACACTTGCTAGACAAGTACTCTAAAACTGAGCTACACCTTATCCTAGTAGTAATATAGAACATTCAGAATGTGCAGTGAGCTAATTTTTTTTTTTGGTAGGTGGTGGGGCTTGAACTCTGGGCCTGGGCGCTGTCCCTCAGCTCTTCAGTTCAAGGCTAGCACTACTCTACCACTTGAGCCACAGCACCACTTCCAGCTTTTTCTGCTTATATGGTGCTGAGGAATTGATCCCAGGGTCTCACGCATGCAAGGCAAGCACTCTACCACTGAACCACCTTCCCAGCCCAGCTAAATTTTTATGATACTAATTCATGGTCTATCTAGTATAATTTCTAAAACTTTTTTTTCAAATTTACCATTATTTTTTCTTGTTGTTGTTGGTTGAACTCTGAGTCTGGGCACTGTCCCTCAGCTCTTCAGCTCAAGGCTAGCACTCTACCACTTGAGCCACAGCATCACTTCTGGTTTTTCCTGCTTATGTTGTGCTGAGTAATCGAACCCAGGGCCTCATGATGCAAGGCAAGTACTCTACCACTGAGCCACCTTCCCAGCCCAAACTTAGCAATCTTATAGCATGATTCCTATTATCTAATGCTTGTGATGGAGTTGAATATCATTCTCATTTTACCTATACCTCCAGAGTGCTGGGACTGTAGGTCTGTGTCATTGTGAGCTAGCAGAGTATAAACTTTAGAAAGCCTAGTGATTTGCCCAAGGTGATACAATTCAAAGTAGGATTTAAAACTGGATAGGCTGGTTGTGAAGCCAGCTTTGTCTTATTATACTCCTGGGGCAAATATAAAATTTCCACAGACTTCTTATTTGCAATAGATGGGGTAGTATCAGGAAAGGAAAGCCTAAGGAAAACTGGACAGAGGATAAGATTCATTCATTCTTTTATCAGTGTGTTTTTTTCTATTCCTGGGACTTGAATTCAGGGCCTGGGTGTTGTCCCTGCACTTTTTTTTTGTCAGTCGTGGGGCTTGAACTGTGGGCCTGGGTCCTGTCCCTGAGCTCTTCAGCTCAAGGCGAGCACTCTACCACTTGAGCCACAGTGCCACTTCTGGTTTTCTAGTGGTTTATTGGAGGTAAGAGCGTCACCGGCTTTCCTGCCCGGGCTGGGTTTGAACCGTGATCCTCAGATCTCAGCCTACTGAGTAGCTAGGTTTACAAGCATGAGACACCAGCACTTGGTCCGGCACCTCTTTTTGCTCAAAGCTAGTGCTCTACCACTTGAGCCACAGGGCCACTTCCTGCTTTTTCTGAGTAGTTTATTGGAGATAAGACTTTCCTGCCAGGGCTGGCTTCCAATTGTGATCCTCAGGGCTGGGAAGGTGGCTCAGTGGTAGAGTGCTTGCCTTGCATGCATGAGGCCCTGGGTTCAATTCCTCAGCATCACATAAACAGAAAAAGCTGGAAGCGGCTCAAGTGGTAGAGTGCTGGCCTTGAGCTGAAGAGCCAAGGGACAGCACCCAGGCCCAGAGTTCAAATACCAAGACCAGAAAAAAAAATACCACAAAAGCAAACCACCACCAATTGTGATCCTCAGATCTCAGCTCTGAGTAGCTAGGATTACAAGGATGAGCCAACAGCCCCAGACCTCATCAGTGGTTATTATCTCTGAATGCCAGTCTCTGTGCTAGTCACCCAAGTAGACTAGACAGGGTGACTAGACATCAAAGGTATTGAACAACAGTTTTCACAATGGGAGGTTGGTGTAGTACCAGCATGGGGGCATGGAATCAGAGGGAAAGTTAGAGCTCTCAGAGGAATAACACTTCTTTATAATCCTGGAGAGGGTCAAGGCTTGTTGATATGGAAATATAACATATAAAGGGTGGGGGGGGCATGTGGTGGGACCCTAGGGATAGGATATTACTCATTAGAACAATTATTTGGGTTACAGACCTTTAACTATGTAATGGAAAGTACAAAAAGTACAGAAAAACTACATAGGAAATTCGTGGATTCCTGCAGGGGGAAGGTAATTCCAGCCGGGAAGCTGTCCCCAGCCCTTCACAGGGCTGAGGTGGCAAGTTCCCAGCCAAAGGGGAGTTCCTTTTTCCCATCCCTGACACCCTTTTCCTCACTTACATCATCCAGGATAACTGACATGAATCTGGGGTCCTTTTGGTAAGAGCGGAGGCTTCAGAGTGGGGCGCAAAGTGGAAGAGTCTTCCCCGACTGAACTCGAGGGAGAAACTTCCGATGGTTCAGAAAGCAGAGGCTCTGCTTCCACTTTCATTTCAGTGAAATGGCTGGCAAACTCCTCCCTCTCCTCCCCACCCCTGGGAGGAGACTTCCTAGTCTTCAAACTCCACAACACCCAGCCCTGTGGCTAGTGCTTGTAGACCCAGCTACAAGGGTAGGAAAGGGAGAACAGAGATCAAGGATGGGGAAAATTTAGGGAGGCTCTATCTCAAAAACAAAACTGAAGCTGGGCATTAGTGGCTTACACCAGTATCCTAGCTACTCAGGAGAATGAGGTCTGAAGATCACAGTTCAAAGCCAGCCCAGACAGGAGTCAGTGAGACTATTTTTTGTCAGCTCTGGAGCTTGAACTCTGGGCTTGGGCACTGTCCCCCAGCTCTTCAGCTAAAGGTAGCACTCTACCACTTGAGCCACAGCACCACTTCTGGTTTTCTGGTGGTTAATTGGAGATATGAGTCTCACAGACTTTGCTGCCCAGGCTGGCTTTGAACCCAAGATCCTCAGCTCTCAGCCTCCTGAATAGGATTACAGGTGCAAGCCACTGGCACCCGGCCCATAAGACTCATCTCCAATTAACCACCTGAAAACTGGAAGTGGTGCTCTGGCTCAAAGTGATAGAGTGCTGCCTTGAGTGTCCAGGCCCTGAGTTCAAGCCCCATAACTGACCAAAAAAAAAGCCAAAAAGTTGGGGAGTAGCAAAGTACTTGCCTAGTAAACATGAGAAGGCCCAAGGGTACAAACCTTAGTATTAAAAAAAAAGAAAATGCCGGGGGCTGGGAAGGTGGCTCAGTGGTAGAGCGCTTGCCTTGCATGCTCAAGACCCTGGGTTCGATTCCTCAGTACCACATAAGCAAACAGAAAAAAGCCGGAAGTGGCGCTGTGGCTCAAGTGGTAGAGCGCT